CAACTCCCAGAATTCCACAGCCAGCCATGAATTCTGGGAGTTGAAGTCCACTCATCTTAAAGTGGCCAAGTTTGGACAACACTGCTTTGAATGAACGTTGGGATGGGGGTTATCTGCAGACTCAAAGTGGCCACGGTGGAGAAACGCGGCTCTCACAGAATTCATTATAAAGGGGGATTTTCATTCAAACATACAAGTTTGGAACCACGTAGAAATAAAAGCCTGCTTCTCATGACATGAATAAGCCCACTTGAAGACAGCTTCCCCAGATTCTGGCCGAGGGAAGTCCTGGAGATTTTCAATGAAGAGAAAATGGGTGGGTTTTGCAAAATAAAGAAGTACAGTCGAGGAAACCTGAGACAGACCCTCTGACTATAGAACTACAGAGTGTCAGAATGGACCAAAGACTTGAGGACATATAGAAAAGGCGAAACAGAAAAAGGAGAGAGAGAGAGAGAGAGAGAGAAAAGCCTCTTTCGTACTTGACCCCTTTCTCTTTCTGGATTACAAATAAAATAAACAGCCGTTACTGTACGAAGAAAGCAGCAAAACATGAAGAAGGGAGGATCATTAGAGCGACCGACAGAAAAGGGGATCACTCCAGAAATATTACAGAAAGGTTTGGGTTTTTTTTAATCTATAATTTCTATTAAAACGGTTAAAGAAGAAGATAAAAAGGAATACAATCTAATATAAAGAAGAGGAAAAAGAAAGCAAGCCAAGAGAAAGCAAAACGTGCAAAAAAAGAAAAAAGTGAAAGAAAAATAGAAAGGAAAAAGATACAAAGCAATGGCCTCCGATATTCTTCACAACGGTTATAAGTGCAATTATATTTTAACGGTTATAAGTGCAATTATATTTTAACGGTTATAAGTGCAATTATATTTTAAATTTAATATTTAAATTTATATTTTAATATTTAAGAAGTGAAGCTGCGATGGCTGTCTGCACCTGGGAAAAGGGGCTGCAGCCAGGCAAAAATATTCCCCCCCCAATATTCCCCAAGGCTCAGCCCAGCTCATGTTTCTTTTCAAAGGGCTGTAAAAGTTGACAGCCCCAGAAACCTTAGGGAGATGGGCCCAGGCGTGCACTCATTCACTCAAAAGCGTCGGAGACCGATGCTCTGTTGGTGGGAAGGTGTGCACAGCAATACAGCATTGTGTACAGATTGGCTACGCTGTGGTGTGTCACAAACCTCTCTCTCTCAAGTGACATCAGGACTCTCTTCTTTCTATAACCTATCCTGTCTCATCATCACACCAGAAATCACAAGTTCGTTTTTTTCATTTTTACGCAAAAAGCCCATAAGGGGTTTCCAGTCACCCACAAACGTAGATAGTGTCTTCTCTCTCATCAAAGAGGTTCGTTTGTCCATTTCAGCAAGATCTGTCAATTTCACCAATCATTCCTCCAGAGTGGGCAGTGTCGACTCTTCCCATCTCTCTGCATATAATAATCACGCTGCAGCAATCATATACCTACTGAAATAATCTTCCATGGCTTTTTTCTAACTGTTTATCCATTAGTCCTGAAAGGAAAAGTTCTGGCTACAAAAAATGTTTGACGAGTTAGGGAAGAATGTATCTGAATCTGTCAGAAGAGTCTTGGTGGCATTTGAAGGGAGAATGGAAGAAAGATTTGTAAATATGAAAGAGGAAATGAAAGAAGAGATTAAAAAAAACCTGGAAGCATCTGTTGGGCAATTGATTGAAGTGAATCAAATTAAAGATAAAGTGGACATTTTAGAAAGTACAAATAAATAGAGAAACGGAAAATGCTTTAGACAATCTGGCACGACCGGAATTAAGAGAAAAAAAGAAATTTGCTTCAGATTTAAGTGGTTCCAGGGGACCCTGGTGAAGGTAACAGAGAGAAGGTGGTTCAGTTTTTAACAAAGTTTCTGGAATGGGATGAAGATGATACATCGGCAGAGACAAAGTGTATAGGATTAATACATGATATGCAAAGTGTCAGAACCTGCATCACCCAACTGTTGTTGTTTTCCATTGTATTGCATTCGTT